ACCCACCGTGACGCCCCACGCCCCACCGCCATCCCGTGGGCGCCGCATTCCACGGGAGTGCTGGTGTGTGGGGCTGCCCTGCCACGGCCAGGCAGGCGGAGTGGGGGAGAGAAGAGAAAGGGCGGCTAGAGGGGAAAGGAAGAGATAAGTCTTCTGGGGGATACTAAGAGGGTGTAGGGGGTCCTTTGTCGCTTCGATGCATTGATTGGTCTGTAGAGCTTAAAATCAATACTCGTAAATCACGAGAGTGCAATCGTGCTGCGCGTTTGTAAAAACAGAATTTGAAGCGGTAGGGAATGTCGGTATGCAGATATTACAAGATGCTTGTTTCGACCAAATCGGTGCACTGTGCTTGTGATTATCTGAATAGAACTGAGCGCGGTTATGGTGCAGGTTGGCGACTTTATTGGATGTTATAATACCCGTCTAAATGCGGCGCGCAATCGTATAAAGGAGCACCTGCTTCACTCGAATCGGGCGCATCGCTGACACCCGACACCGCGGCGGTGGCTCCTCTACCACTATACATTGAGCAAACCCAAGCTCACGCTGTAATCGCCCCAATCCTCTTTCTTAATGAAGAATATCGTGCGTGACGAATTCCAGCGATTTATATCTTGAGTTTAATTCTCTCTTCGTTGGCGAAGCGTCCGCAGAGACCGGAGACAATTTCATAATGTATAGAATCGGGATTTGATACCCGCCGGGGCCAGTAGTTGCCTTGATGACCCACGAAGCCCTCCCACCCGCGTTCCTCGGGCTGGCGAGAAAGACCGAAATGTAGCTTGCTCTTTTCAGGACGCGTAGACAGTCGCTGTGGTGTATGAACCGGGCTCTGTGACCGCGATCGATCTTATGTGAACGAAGAGAAATAGTAAACAAATTAATCTTTGGCGAAGAAAAACATCAAACAAGTTTAACGAAGTATGACGCACTTGTTGGCGGTTTGTTTACATACAGACTCTGTGGTACATCGCACCTGTCCTGGCGATCATTAAACGAATACCCTCTTGAGCGAGTTCGTTTACATAGAACTAAAACAAATATATCGGTAGGTCTCCATAAGTTTAACGAAGTGACGTCACTCAGCCTTGTGGATATGAGGAGTTGCACCTGTGTACATCGCACCTGCCTGTGCTCGTTTTACCTCGTGCGATCCCCGTGTGTCTAATCAGTGTCCTTATTTCGCTCAGTGCTTTAACATCTCCCGTCGCTCAACATTTCCCTCTGCGACTACTTCAAGCACAGCGCCTTCCTTCCTTTCCCGGCCGCCCCTCTCTCTTCTTTTCTTTCTTTCTTTCTTTCTTTTCTCATTCTCTTCCCTCCTCTGTTTCTTCTCTCTCCTCTCCGTTTTCTTTCTCTTCTTTCTTTTTCTTTTCTTTTTTTCTTCTTTTTCTCTCCTCTCTCTCTCCTTTCTCTCTCTCTCTCTCTCTCTCTCTCTCTCTCTCTCTCTCTCTCTCTCTCTCTCTCTCTCTCTCTCTCTCTCTCTCTCTCTCCTCTCTCTCTCTCTCTCTCTCTCTCTCTCCTCTCTCTCTCTCTCTTTTTTCTTCTTCCTCTCTCTCTCTCTCTCTCTCTCTCTCTCTCTCTCTCTCTCTCTCTCTCTCTCTCTCTCTCTCTCTCTCTCTCTCTCTCTCTCTCTCTCTCTCTCTCTCTCTCTCTCTCTCTCTCTCTCTCTCTCTCTCTCTCTCTCTCTCTCTCTCTCTCTCTCTCTCTCTCTCTCTCTCTCTCTCTCTCTCTCTCTCTCTCTCTCTCTCTCTCTCTCTCTCTCTCTCTCTCTCTCTCTCTCTCATCTCCCTCCCCTCTCCTCTCTCTCTCTCCTCTCTCTCTCTCTCTCTCTCTCTCCTCTCTCTCTCTCTCTCTCTCTCTCTCTCTCTCTCTCTCTCTCTCTCTCTCTCTCTCTCTCTCTCTCTCTCTCTCTCTCTCTCTTCTCTCATATACCCCCTTCTTCTTCTCTACTTCCCTCCTTATCTCTTTCACTTTCTCATTATTACTCTCCCTCTTTTTCTTCTCTCCTTCCTGTAATTTTCTGTTTTCCTTCATTTTCTATTCCCCCTAATGTGTCACACTCCCTCTTTCCCCTCTTCCCCCCCTCTTCCTCGCTCTCCCTTTCACTTTCACACACATGCTACAGACTCATTTCAGCTCCTTCACACTTGTTCTCACCTCTTACTATTAGCTGTCACATTATTCTTCTCAAAAATAAAATTCAGGCAAAATATTTGAAGGAAATGCAGACTGAAAGTAGGATGGAAGAAGTTATACTCCAGCAGTGTGAGATAATTCCAAGTGTAAAATATTCTTTGAAACTTATTTGAGGTGTCTAATAACATAGGGACCAAGATGTTCAGAGTTGGCAGTGAGACTTCTCAATCAATAGTGAATTTCAAAACTTTGGAACAATGATCAGACCAGGCAAGAACACCTGTGGGCGTGGCGTGCCCCACCAAAAGGCGATGGTGCAATATGGAGGATCCCCAGGACAGACTCCACCTAGAAAAGGAGTGTCACACAACTGGGTGTCTTCGTGCCTTGTGTCACCTAGTTTAGTGTCGGGTGCCATGAAGGCTTATCGACACTACTACAATCGTAATACTGCTACACACACCACAATCTACACTTGGGGCTTGCAGGTGCGTTACACTGATATGTATGGGTTTGGATTTGGATATGAAGGTATTCTAGATGGTATTAAAAATACATCACAGCCCAAATATTCTTTCTATGAGCATAGTGTATCTTTTTCATCTTTTGCAAATGATTTATTATTGGAAAATTAGGTAAGTTAGCTATTTTAGTGAAGTTTGTCTTCTTTTATTAACAAACTTTGATATATGTGAATTTGATATTCCTTAATTCTGTTGTTGGTATTAGTGTATACACTGTTGTTTTTTTTCATACATTCATTTTTGCATGATTGTGAATTTCCTGCATTTAATCTCTTTATATGTTAGAAGGTATTGCCTATCATTGTCTTATTTAGTGTTCCAATATCCAGACTTCATTAGCTACTGTGGAATGATGGTATCAGCATTCACTTCTGATTGAGAATTATTCACATTTTCATTAAGTTTAGAATAAAGAAATGAATATTTTCTTTATGATAATTTGGTTTGAGCATTGCCTTTTTCAAATATTTTATAGTTATAACTATTCTCAAAGCAATGTATTCCTCACAGTCCTTTCATTCACAGTTGTAAAAGATACAGATTCTTCCTCTTCCAGCATGTGTTTCACTGACTATTCCAACTTTGACAGGAGGCAGCTAGCAGCACATCACCCAGTGAGACAGGCAGTGAAGAAGAGGAGGACCTCTGCCCAACACCCCCATTATTTAATGGTCATGCCATTACTAATGGTGTGGATAGCAGTACCACAGACGTTCCCATTGAAGAGGAGATAGCCAGTACTGAAGACTCCCACAGTGATCATGACATACACGGAAGAGAAGGTTTCCGTAGCTTATTAGAGGTTTACAAACGTGAAGGCACACCCAAGAAGGAGTTCCGCGCTCAGACCCCACTCAGTGATGAGGAGGACTTAGCTGGTGTTAATGTCAGAAAGCTGGTGAGTGTAAACTTTTGTTTCTGTTTTGTGTACTAAAGGCATATGTATGTATGGGGAGATGTTTGCACTGTATATGTACAATACACATATTTGCTATTTGTGTGTGTGTGTTTCTGTATATCCATTGTATATTTTTGTACTTTTGTATGGATATAGCTAAAAACACTAGTATATGTGCAAATGTTTGTAAAACTTGTAATTTCATTCAAGATTTTTTTTTTCCTACCCTTAAGGAAGTATCATATAATATTTCTTTTAGTCCAAATTTGAATTCTGTAATGATTATGAGAACATATTTAGACTGTTAAATAGAGATATTGAATAGCCATCAATGCTAATGTCAATGTTTTGTATTATACGGAGTTCGATTTTTAACTCAATTTTTCATTGTTTTGAAATTTAGTAAATGATATGTAAGTCTGGTATACTTTTTGGGAATTCAATACAAATTTCTTATAGGAATGTTGGCATTCAGGTTTATCTCCATTTAATTTTCATTATTTCAGAGAGTCTCCTACTTGAACGCAGCACAAGAGAAACACGCCCAAGAAGAGAACCAAAAAACCAGCCTTAGTACAGGTGTCAATATCACAAACTTGGTAAGTAGCTTAATTGCATGAATTGGGGTCTTGTATTGTGTGTGTGTGTGTGTGTGTGTGTGTGTGTGTGTGTGTGTGTGTGTGTGTGTGTGTGTGTGTGTGTGTGTGTGTGTGTGTGTGTGTGTGTGTGTGTGTGTGGTGTGTGTGTGTGTGTGTGTGTGTGTGTGTGTGTGTGTGTGTGTGTGTGTGTGTGTGTGTGTGTATATATATATATATATATATATATATATATATATATATATATATATATATATATATATATATATATATATATATATATATATATATATATTTATATTATATTATATATTGTATTTACTTCTATATTTACATTTGTACTGATGTTTATGGTTATACATATGTATATACATTTACATATGTATTTATATATTATACTTTATATATTTGATTTGATTTCCTATATTTGCTTGTTAATCTATTATTCTAGAAAAACAAGGACAATTAACTATAGATTTAGATGTGGATAGTCTTTTAGTTGTTTTTCCTGTAGCATGTACTGAATGGAGGAAGATATGGTTACTTGAAATTTAAATCAGTAAGTACTGTACTTCATAACAATAAAATTTTGTGTGTCCTACAGGTTGGAGCTTACTCATCGCCAGTACCACGTGCAGCAACACCATCCAGTCGGCCGGATGACCTCACGCCTGTCTCGCTAAGATCACTGGTAAGTGAAGGATGATGGGTTAGGGTTCAGGAAGGTTGTATCACAGAGGAAGAGGAGGTTGAGGTCAGAGTAAAGAGAACTAAACAGAACCCTCAGATAGATAGACAAAGGGACCAATAGATAGAATGAGTTTATATATGGTATGTGCGTTCGATGGTTTACATTCTAAGAAGTTGAAGATAGAAGGAAAAAGAGAGTAAAAGTATGATGTGACATGTTGACAAACTATCTAAGAGATATGGAAAAGATTCAAAACCAAAATGCATGTAGATGAATTATTCTACTCAGGTGACAAGTTTTATCTTATCAGAGAATAATGAAATCAAGAGCATTGTTAAGCTCATCACAGACAACAGATAAGATATCCTCATTCCAGGTATCATTCAAATTGCCCCCTTTATCAGTTGTGCCATGCGCCCCGCCTACTTTAAACAGACAATGGCTCAGTTCACTAGCTGCTCTGTGACTAGAAGTTTTGTGCCTAGAAATACAAATAGATTCTTAAGAGAATTTTTGAAAAGATTACTACTTGGGATCTTGTGAGGTATGGCATAGAGTGGCTGTGAAACATATTTGAAGATCATAATTATGGGTTCATAAGTGATGAATACTCATTATTTCTAATTAGTCAGACTGTAATTATTGCAATTATTTGCTGCTGTACCTCTTTCTCCTCCTCTTCCACTAATAATTGGAGAAGGTGGAGGTGCAGCAGAAAATTTCCTGCTAATGAATGATATTGTTTCCTTAAATGTTTGAGAGCATTGTAGAATGATTAACTATTGTTGCATATATTGACTGTTATGAATATAATAGATTGGAGTAGGCTGTATGGTGAAAGGATTTTCATAGCCAGATAATGGCAACAATGTTGCTACAGACATTTAAATTACATTGTTATATTGGAATGACAACAGGAGGTGCATGAACAAGGTAAATATTTACTCTACATGAAAATAAAAGAATGAAATTTAACTTTAAAGATAAAGTTACAAGTGATTATTTTTCAAGGAAAATATTAGTGGATGATGTATTCAAAGGAAGAGTTGGAAAAGTTGAAGTAGTTCTGGTAGTGTCAAAAAGTGATAAAAGGCACCAAAAAGTTGAGCAATACTACAGAATGTGAGAAGAGTTGGTAGAGACACTGCAGTAGTGTAATAATTTGTATTTTGTATTGGGGGACTAATTTGCAGCTATTGATGGAAAACAGTCTTTTTAAGATTGCCATAGAAAGTTGAGGATAAGGTTGAGATTTTTAAAATTCCTTCCTGGACACTGGAATTAGTTTACTGATAATTGCTGTTGCTAGTACTGGTGTATGATTATGATGGGTGTTATTCTTTCTTGTTTTGGATAGTGCTAGTAACTGTGAGGTTTATGAATATGTTGGTGAATGCTGATGAATAAGTGAGCTCACTGTAAGAAAAGGTTGTGACAGTGATCAATACATTACAATGCTTTAGCGTAGAAACTTGTATCAACTTAATTTTTTTTCTTGAGTCACTTAGTTAAAATGTCATAGTCACTATAACACAGGATGAAGTGAGGGCATTTATTTCCACAGATGAGGTCATATCGGAGCTGGTGGAAAAAACGGTTTGTTTCCTCTGACAATTTGATGCACAGACTTAAACATTGTTTAGTGTGAGAACGGCACCATTATATTTTGAAGACTTTGGTTTGAAAATAGGACCACATTGTAAGGGACTGAAGTTTGGTCTTTGTGTGATTCTACATAGACATTATTTTATGTACTAATATGAGTGTCGTAGGATTTTATTGTAGTTCTGAATGTCTTCAGTTTTTAAGTTGCTGTTTAATGCGCATGTAATATTTTTTGGACAAGTGATGAATGTTTTTATCAATATGATTTTTTGACTTTGAGTCTATCAAAGATTTTATTTTTAGAAAACAGATTTTTAATGTCTGTTAGAAAAACTTTTGAGTGGTTAACCAGAATATTGGTGTGTTGCAGTATGCAGTTTTTGTTAATATATTTTGAAAAGCATGTTTTTTATCTATTTATTTTTATTCATTTATTTATTATTAGTATTTTGTTTATTCACTTTTTTGTGTGTGTGCATGAAGTTATTAAGATTTAGGTCTCATATATACCAACAGTAATATGAAAAAAAACAAATATGCCAATGTATCAAGAAAGTAACATTTTTTTTGCAAATTTAATAGAAGTCAGCGTATGAGGCAACGGCGACAGGAACCAGTAGTGCGGGCAGCAGGCACGGCAGCAGTAGCTGCAGTAGTCCAGTTGGTGGCAGCCCTGCACCCAAGGAGGAACTAAATATCTCCCTACATCAGCTGGTGAGTTTTGAAAGGGATTTCTTGTACATAGGAAAATGGTAATATTAACTAGATAAAGAGGGAAGAAGAGAGAACAAGGGAAAATAGAGAAAAAGAGAGGGAAGAATGACAGAGAAAGAGAAAACTTACAGAAGAGGGAAAGTGATGAACTAAGTTACAACCTCTTTCCGACATTCCAGCGTGAGGAGTACTGTCGCTCCGTATTGGAAGGAGACAGTCGCTCCAACACCCCTACCAAGGCTCCCCCAGAAACTGGAGTTTCAATCAGACAACTTGTGAGTATGCAAAATGTCAGATGGTTGTGATATGGATTATTGATTCCTTTTTTTATATGTGTTTTGCTCTCATTGCTTTGTACAAGATGCTCAAGGCATTGCAGATTCATCCACCATCATTATCATATCATAGCCACATCTTGTTAATGGCAACTTTTCATCTTCTGCACATCATTCAAAACCAGTATTTTAATGTTTATGATTTTTTATGTTATCCCATACTTAAGAAACTAAAACTGAAACTGTTGTCAGCATTATGACCCTGTTAGATCGTAATGAGTGTATTTTTGTACCTATGACTTTCATGGTTGATGACCACTTTTTAAAGCCCAGGAAATAAGAAATCATCCCATTAAGTCTTTAGAAGAAAAAATGCACATCAGCTGCGGAGAAAGAATGTGAATTCCTTTTAGTGTTTTGTGTTTGATATAAGACAGACTTTTTGGTCACTCGTAATGACCATTTCCCAAGCATCCTACCACGCATAGCTCTAAAACCAATCAAAAGGTCCCACTAGATATTATCTTGTATCCATGGTGCTGTGTTTAATCTGTTATTAGAGAGAGAAAATTACTATTCTCAATATTTTCTTTGATTTGTTTATTTGTTTTTTGTAATTATCAGATATATATATTATATATATATATATATATATATATATATATATATATATATATATATAATATATATTATATATATATATATATATATATATATATATATATATATATATATATATATATATATATATATATATATATATATATATATATATATATATATATATATATATTTATATATATATAGTATATATATATATATATATATATATATATATATATATATATATATATATATATGTGGTAGTGTATATATGATGTGGTGTGTGTGTGTGTAGTGTGTGTGCCTATATATAATATATATATATATATATATATATATATATATATATATATGATATATATATATATATATATATATATATATATATATATATATATATATATATATATATATATGTTTAATGTATGTGTATGTAAGTGTTGTTTTAGCATTAGCTTAATATTAATATGTGAAAGCTTATAGACTTTGGTGATGGATTTTTGTTGATTATTATAATCCACTAACATCTAACAAAATGGTCCTGCTTGGAGATTTAAGAAAACAGGATTGAAGAAACATGTTCTGTAATATGCCCATGTAAAGGACATTTTAGTGAAGCTTAGTCTTGTTAACTAATGTGCCTTTTATCATTATTTTCATCATTATCAATATTGTTACTACCATTGTTATTATTATATGACTCTTTTAATCATTGCTGTTATTATTATTATCAAATTAGATACCATTTTCTTTGATATTTTCCTTTAAGAGCATATTACACGATGTTTTTTATTGAGCATATTCTCAAGAATATTTAACAAATTAATAAAAGATGAGACAAGCAATAATGCTTTTTGGTAGCATTAATAACACAGGTTTTTTCCAAAAAAATTTGCTCTATGTTAATCTTACTAACCATTAACCTTGTGACTAACCACAAACCAGACTCGGAGCATGACTGACTTGACGACTGTAGGCCAGGATACGCACACCTCCATTAAAGATGATGACCGATCAGTTTTGGCCACAGTCAACGTAAAAGCGTTGGTGAGTTCATAATTTTTTTTTACCAAATGTCCACCAACCCTTGAAGTATCATTGATTAAGTCTCTTTCTCACTGTTTCTCTTTTCCTTTATTTCCTCTCTCTCTCTCTCTCTCTCTCTCTCTCTCTCTCTCTCTCTCTCTCTCTCTCTCTCTCTCTTCTCTCTCTCTCTCTCTCTCTCTCTCCTCTCTCTCTCTCCTCTCTCTCTCTCTCTCTCTCTCTCTCTCTCTCTCTCTCTCCCTCTCTCTCCCCTCTTCTCTCCCCCTTTTTTCTCTCTCCCCCCCCTTTCTCTCTCTCCCCCTCTCTCTCTCTCTCCCCTCTCTCTCTCCCCCCTCTCTCTTCTCCCCCTCTCTCCTCCCCCTCTCTCTCTCCCCCTCTCTCCCTCTCCCCCTTCTCTCTCTCCCTCTCCCTCCCCCTCCCTCCCTCCCCTCCCTCCCTCCCCTCCCTCCCTCCCTCCCTCCCTCCTCTCTCTCTCTCCCTCTCTCTCCTCTCTCCCTCCCTCCTTCCCTTCCTCGCTATCCCCTCTCTCTCACCCTCCCTCTCCTTCACCTTTTTCTTTCTTTCTTGCTATCCTTTCTCTTCCCTTTCCTCCTTTCTCTTTCATCTTTCCATCACTCTCTTTCTTGTCATTACCTCTCTTATCTCTATGTTAGACTTCTTACTATATAATATTCATAGAATATGTGCATGTGAAAATATTCATTGATATTTGATATGATGAAATATATGCAATAAATAAATGTTAAAATGTCTGCAAAAAAAACTCAAGAAATGTGATCAGCTCTAAATAGAAAGTAGACATACAGTAAAAAGGACCCAAATTTTTGTTGAATTCAATGGCTAAAATTAGACCACTTGAGCCTCACGGGTGTCCTTCATTAGAGGTGAAATTGAAAATATACCTAAAG